ACTCCGTCGACCACTTCATGGAGAGACCTGTTTGAGAGAAAACTAGCTAGGAGAGAACATAGCTGGAGAGGCAAGCCATAAGATGGAAGCTTGGTGAGGAGTCCGTGGTGCAAGACTTGATCGATCGAATGCCTTGGAGATATCAAGATTTCACCATATTTTTCTATAGATTGCTCCAATATATGTGAGACGTAAGCGAGCAGGTCACCAGTTGATCTCTGATGACGGAAGCCATATTGCCTATCGATGATAATACCTCAATGTTCCAGGTATTTCATGAGCTCAATGTTGATAGCTTTCTCCATGATCTTTGAAATAATAGATAGCAGCGGGATCGGTCTGTGGTTGCTAGTTAGGGTCTTTTTGCCTTCTTTAGAAACTGGTTGTACTCTTGCAATTTTCCAGTTGGACGGAAATATCCCTAATTTGTAAGAGTAGTTGAACAACTTGCAGATAACAGGTGTTAGTTCGGTAGCACATTCCTTGAGGACAATCGGTGGGGATTCCGTCGGAGCCACAAGCTTTGTTGGTGTTGAGACCCAATAAAATCTTCCTTATAGTACGTTGGCGAAAGGTGGTCTCGGGCATATGACTGTCAATTGGCGTTATGTGTGGAGGTTGTTTTTCCGATGAATCCAGAGTAAAATTTCCAGAAAATAAATGCGAAAAAATGTTTCTCCTGGGCAGGTATGGCTAGTGTTCCATCTTCCTGAGACAGGACAAGGGTTCTTATGAAAACAAAAGTTAGATAATCGAAGGCCTAACAAGAAATATTTCATTTGCGGAAGGGAATATAGTGTATTGCAGAGATTATAGGAACCCAAATAGTAAATTTTAGGTTATAATGTATTCATGTGTAAAGTACTCGATGAGTAAATTGTCTGGATAAGACATTCAGATCAGATCCTGAAGATCAATGAAATAGATGAAATCGCTCAATCAACTTCAAATCCAGGAAATATAATTCCATCGAGAGAAAACACTTCAGCGACTCAAATGTACGCTGATGGAGATCAAAATGTAATTCAGAATCATGAAACTCCAGGAGAAATCATCTCGAGTGAGAATGTGCTTGATAGTTAGTTGTGTTCCTTCAGTTTATTGCTGTGATGGTTACAATTAGATACCAATGGGTGGCATCATAAGGTAACTAGATCGTTTGATCTCGTAACGGGAATATTGTAGGTAGTGTATTGATATGTATCACTATTTATAATGTATATGTTGTGTCATGTATCATTCTGTATGTAAATATTCGGATTCATGATAACTGGAAGATTACTATGGGTGATTGTCAAATAACTTGTATATCACCTGCTTCCACTTTTGTAAAATGAAGATTTTCCTTTGTAGAGCTGAATCATTATAATTATAATATATCCCACGGATATAATATTAATTAACACGCGTAGGTCCATAAAAGTAAGTTACGTCTGAAATACATACAACATTTTATGCACGACCGGTATACATAGTGATTCAGGTTTTGGGGTACAAACTGAAATGGGTGATAGATCTCATTATTTTGATAAAAAAGTGTGCATAAATATGTGTCCGATCTCGATCAGGAGTGGAGATACAGGATGTCAAAGTTTCATTATTTTTTATCTATTAATTGAAATATCTCGCTCACTTCTGAAGATATCAATTTGTAATTTGGTGTGGTCAATACTTTCTAGAAGCATTTTGAAGGTTTTTGAAATTCACAGGGTGATACGTTCTTGAGGGTAGAGCCTTCTTTATTCCCCCCAAACATTTTCGTAGTACTCCTCTGACATCTTTCAGTTACCAAATACTATAGGGTGGATCGTTCAATTTGAAGACTTTATCTGCATCCCAATTTTTTTCGAGATACGAACAGTTTTCAGATAAATACGCATATCCCTGCAATAACATGTTGATTTTGCCTATAATATCTGAATCAGTGGCGGGGATACAGAGGGTAGAAGGTCAAGTTGCTTTTAACCGAGCCTATTATGATTCACTTAATGCAATAAAATGTACCAAATTCCAATCTGAATCAGTAGCGGGGATACAGAGGGTAGAAGGTCAGGTTGCTTTCAACCGACCAATCCAAACACGAAGCGGAAAATTAATGTTAAACCACTAGTTAAGCCTCATCCAGTTGTATCCATATCCCTCATCCAATATCTTTTTCAATATCATTTGAAAAAATTTAAAAATCAAATAGCATTCAAATTGTCGGGAAGAATCTTATCCGTGCAATAACATGTTGATTTTGCCTATTATGATTCACTTTAATGCAATAAAATGTACCGAATTCCAATCTGATTCAGTAGCGGGGATACAGAGGTTCGAAGGTCGGTTTGCTTTTAACCGTTCAATCCAAAGACGACGCGCAAAATTCGTGGTTAAGCCCATCCAGTTGTATCCATATTCCTCATCCAATATCTTTTTCAATATCATTTGAAAAAATTGAAAAATCGAATATCATTCAACTTCTTTTTGGGAAATGTGATTATTTCTTCTGCGCATTCTATTATTGTTAATTAATTTTGTACAAGGATTGAATTAAAGAGAAAAATATAGATAAAATTAATGAGTTTCAGAACGGATATGCTTATTTATCTTGAGAATGGTTCGTTTCTCGGTAAAAATTGAAGCTTCAAAAAATCATTTAAATTGAACGACCCACCCTATTTTTTTGTGGGGGGGGGGGGGGATAAAGAAGCCTATACCTCCAAAAACGTATTACCCTGTAGATTTAAAAAATTTCTTAAATGCTTGAAATGATGAGTTTCTTGAAAGTATTAACCACACCAAATTTCAAATTGATATCTTCAAAAGTGAGCGATTAATTAATTAATAAAAAAAAATATTCACGCTTTGACTTCGTGTAGATCCGCTACTGATCGAGATCGGACTCATGTTAACATCAACTTTTTTAATTGAGATTATAAGATCTATGACCCATTTCAGTTTGTACCTCAAAACCTGAATCACCCTGAATATTTGATTTTTCATTGTGAATATCTCTCAAGCAAGATAGAATTGCACCATGGTTGCAAAGAGGATGTATACTCAGATTGTATCGGAGAAAAAATTAATCCAGAAGTGATTGAATATAATTGATAGAATCAACGGTATTTATTTATTCATTTTGAGTTTGATCATATCATTTTCTCTCTCAGAAATAAAGGTAACAGTAATTTTATAGATATTGAATCATCACAATGATTATAACATATAACAAAGTAGTCCTGATTATTACAGGAATGTTTATTACGATTTACCTTTCCGATAGGTATATTGAAGGACGGATGATAGTGGTTGAAATTAACGTTGACGTCTGATTGAGTGTAATTAACGTTAACGCTTGATTAACATGTTTAGCGCCCGTCGGGCTGTCGTGCATAAACAACATTATACAGCTGTACCATTGTATAGTCGTCTGAATAGAACAAAAGCATTGTATGATATCGTGTAATAACAAAGTATAGCTGTTTATCAATCGACGACATTATGGAATCAAAAATCCAGTAATGTGGGGATGATTCTCTATAGTAAACTGAATTGGAAAATATAATAACAATTCGTTTAAAATTGGAATCCAACTCCTCGAAATTGAAAATGATTATCTTTTTCCATTAAATAAACCGAATCGTGAACGAAATTGGAGCGCTTTTTTTCTCCAAAAATGTAGACATATTTTGCCAGAATTCTTTGTTGTGCAAAGAAATTTTCTCGCATAATGGCGGATTCATGCACACCACCTTTTCATTAATCTGTAATTTTACAATCATTAACGATTTCACTAAAACGTTAAAACTTGGTATTCCCTTTCATTCATTCATGCCCCTAAATTGAATTTCATTTTTAATTATCTTTCCGCTAAAAGATGACCATTTTTTATCTCTTAACTACAAATATAAATAAAACTGACTTGCGCTGGCGCGATTCTGTCAGAAGTCAGACAAACAATGTCTTCCTCTTCGTTTCCCAAAATGTGGCTGAAAATTCTAATCGTATGATCAAATTAGACTTTGAAAACAATAATGATGAATGATTCTTATTGTAATTATGTGATCACTGAATGTTATAACACAAATATCTTCATCGTGCTATGTAAGCTGACTATGTTTTGACCAAGAAGAAGAGTTCAAAAAGAGGTGGTGCATAAAGGTATCATAGTCCTTGAATAAAAATAAACTTAATGACAGTTAATTAAAGCAACAGATTAGTGAGAGAGTGGTGTGTATAAATCCACCTTAAATGATTGCTGTCTGTTTTTGATGATGCGTGCTCCACAATTTGATTTTGGCTGTGATTGTCATGGCTTCAAAATTTGATTTTCAAAATATATTTCACAACTTATTCTGTACATATAGTTTCTAGTGTAGTTTTTTTCAAAGGTATCTGAGTTTATTGTATAACGTAGTCGTGAAACATATTTTTATAGGACTATTTTATAATAAGCTGAATTGGAGAATACATATAATGACAATTCGTTTGGAGTTGAAATCGAACTCTCCAGATTGAAAATGATTCCCTTTTTTCAATATATAATAAACCGAAACGTGAACAAAATTGGGGCGCTGTTTTTCGCCACAAATGTAGACATATTTTGTCGTGCAAGGAAATTTTCCCGCATAACTGATTGTCGTCGGTTTTTGATGATGCGCGCTCCACAACTTTATTTTGTCTGTAATTGTCATTGCTTCTCAATTTGATTTTCAAAATATATTTCACAACTTATTCTGTAAATGTACTTTTCATGTAGTTTTTTCCAAAGGTATCTGAGTTTATTGTATAACGTATTCTTGAAACATATTTATAGGATTATTTCATAAGAATTGTATATTTTTCTTACAGAAATCTCTTGATATCGAAATATTGTGTAACATAACTCTTTCAGATTGTAAAAACATTGAATAGCAGTGGTTAATTCTAACAACCTTTATAGGAAATAATTTGCCAGAGTTGGGTTAGCCCTAATTGGAAAATTTCTTGAATTACAAAAAAAAACTTGAAAAACTTACGTGTATGCTTCAAAATCGCCAGTATTTATTGCTTCTATCAATTGTTCGGTCATCTTGATGATTTCTTGACGTCTAGCTGCAGAAACAAGATCAACCTCATTAGAACCAGATCGTCTACAAAAATTAGTGAAACACCAGCGATCAAACGACTAGAAGAACTACATAGAGTACCAAGTACCACTGGTTTATAATACGTGGAAAACACAGTATAGTCACTTCCAAAAATCATGCACAGCTTATGTTCAAACGTTATTTTCCAACTTGTCAAAGTAATTATTGAAAGCTAAAAGGTACCTATACAGAGTACGATATTCAGAGAAATGTGGATAGCCTGTGAAAAGCTTGATCACAATAATATTCTCAACATCTTTGAAAATCAAAGTTTCAGCTTAACAGTTTGAGGTAGATAGGTACTAGAAGTACATTTCAATCTCAATGTTGTATCGAAGACTGGATACTTTGGCACGATAATACATTACACACTGTTTTACCGCTAAAGAAAACGATTTTCTACACCTCGACACGTATTTTGCTAACTATGATAGCATCTTCGGGAGAAGATTGAAGCTAAATGCTCTATCCTAGTGGGCCACGAGTATATATGTCCAAAAGACAATAACCGCCAAGTTAATATTATTAATGGTTGAGTTCACATGCTATATTCCTTAACTATACTAGGTCCATTATCCTTATTCATTAATCTATTACTATACTTAAATACCTCTAAGCTTCCATATGCATCTGATTTTCTAACATTATTAACTTGCTTAACTAATTTGAGGTTATTAATATGTGTGTTATGATTGTGATTGAACATGTGTTCGGCTACACACGATTTATCTAACCTACCATATTTCAAATGTGCTGGTTTGGTGGACACACTATGGAATGGACTATGGAATTAGTTGTGATGATTGTGATACATATATAGGCCAAACCAGGTGTCCCAGCAAAACGAGGTTCAAAGAACACTTAGCACATTTGAAATATCATAGGTCAGATGAATCGTGTGTAGCCGAACACATGTTCAATCACAATCATAACACACATATTAGTAACCTCAAATTAGTTAAGCAAGTTGAGAATGTTAGAATATTAGATGCGTATGAAAGCTTAAAGATATTTTAGAATAGTAATAGAGTAATGAATAAGGATAATGGACCTATCCCATTTAGCCCACTGTATAGTTTAGTTATATAGCATGTGAGCAGTTATTGTCTATTCACGGTTGGGTGGACATATACTTAGTATATAAGTAGCCCACTAGGATAGAGCACTTAGTTTTAATATTCTCCTGAAGATGCTAACATAGTTAGCGAAACACGTGTCGAGGTGTAAACAATCGGCTTGGTTAGTGGAAAAACAGTGTGTAGTGTATTCTCAATGTTATTTAAAAAAATCATCATGTCAAGATCGAACTTTCTTCAATTTGATTAATACATTTTGATTTTAGATTTGAGATTAGGTATGTAATGAAACTGATATTGAATTCTAGTCAAAGAACATTTTAAAATTCTTGTTTATGGATAATGTTGATCAAGCATTTCTGAAATACCATCGCTTCGAAATATTTACAGTGTTTTTGAAGGACTACCTCTAAGAATAATAGGTGATAGCAAATTGTCTAGATTACTTCACAGATGATTCAGAAGAGGCCATACCTGAACTTTGCGAATTTGTGGATAGTTGAGTGTACGGCTTATCAGGACACACAATCCGTATTTCTATAATAAAAAAATTGCAAACAAGCATCTGTTAAATTATCGCATTTTCAGCTTGGCATGCATATCCATTCTTATAGACAGATTGTTTATATTTCTTCAACAAGCAACAGGTTATTTCATCACAGGAGTTTTTGAGAAAACCTATAGATAGTATGTTTGTGATACTTGTTTCAATCAAGGTTGAATAATCAGCAATGAACAATGAAATTCTTCCTCTTTAATGAAATAGAGCCTTGGAATTTTCTCAATACATAATTTAAAGAAGAAAAGAACAATCTCAAGAATTATTTTCTATTTTTATGTTGAAAAATCGATGGAATTCTTCCTCGTGGGTCTAATAGTGAAATTTTAAGGGCACTAGAATTTTGGGGAATCCTAACCTGATTTGTCCTCAATATATACAGGTATATTGGAATAGTACTAATATTTATGTTCAAACAGACGAGGAGGAAAAATCCCAAAAATTTAGATAAATCAATATTCCACCTTCTCGATTAACCAACATACAGTATACAGGGCGTCCTAGAAATAACGTTAGTATACTCCGGGAGGTAATTTTACAGATAAAAATAAGAAAATATGTTCGTGAGGGCGCTAGATAGATCCTTGAATGCAGTTTTCTTCAATAAATTATCTTTGTTACCATTGATTCTAGAATCACGAAATTCGTTTCCTAAGGGTAATTTAGTATTCGAAATCAATTCGTGGTACGGAAAAAATGATATACTATACAGGAAGGTGCGAAACTCGTAACCTATGCTATAAAAATGCCCCAATGTTTTGTTTCACAATTTATCCCATTATGTGTGTCATTTCACATTCTGATGTCGGTAATAATTCACAATGATATCGGGCATTTGTTTTTATGATAGAAAAAGTTTAGCTTATTGATAATCAAAATTCTGAATTTTCAGGTAGATTAGTTTAATTTGAGTTGAACGCGATGTTGAGAAAATATTCGCAATGTTAATTAACGAAATTTCGAACTTTTATTTACTAGGTGAATTATCTCAGATTATTTCAGACATTAAAATAAAATGACACATATATATTCGGAGTCTGAAAATGAGATAAATTGTGAAACAAAGGCATTTTTATTGCATATTAGTCACGACGACGCGTCGTCGTCGTCATTTCACGTAGTGACGTATCTCAGTTTGCTAAATTTCACAGGAAAGCAATTTGAAGATATTCAACATCTTAATTCGCTTAAAACTTAGAGGTTTGTTCATGGAAGGTCATTGTTTTTTATTCATTGGTGGAAGAGCAAGAACTAGTTGTTATGATATGGTGAGATTGCGCAAAACATCGTCAAAAACGGGGATAATTAATATGTTCGTGAAATACGTGAGATCATGTTTGTCAATGTGGCCATAGATAGGTCCATGAATATATAGTGAATTCGAATGAATATCAGATCCAAGTATTCATTTTAATTGATATAAAAAACACATAAATTCATTCGACTTTCAGTTCCTTGAGACGCCAACCAAGATATTTTAATTTCAATGTTGTCACTGTTGAAATTTTTAACAAATAATAAAAATATAGTGACGAAACTCCCATAGTTAGGTCACTTCGTTGAATTTGCTGGTCCAATAGTTTGAGATAGGCTGAGTATTCGATATTTAACAACACGAACATCATTTAATATTGAGTTACGCCATTTTATGAGATCATAAGAGTACAAGAATGTAAGTCATTCGACGAAGTATTTCAAATTCCGATTTTTATGAGATAAGTCATTACGTGAGATGACCCACGACGAGTTTCGCAATTACCTGTATATTAAATCATGTTTCCGTACCAATTAAGGATTTGGTAACATCAAATTACCCTCATATAGGTACCAAATTTTCATTTCTAGGACCCATGGTAATAAAAATAATTGGAGAAAACTGTATTTAAGGACATACCTTCAAAGGGTTATAGCTTCCAGCGAAAATACATTATACACACATTTTTCGACCCATGTTGGTATGAAAATGTTTCCTTATTTTTAACTGCAGGATCGCCCCTTGAAGTACTAACGAATGTTATTCTGAAACACTTTGTATAGACATTTCATAGTATTCCTGAAAGTTAACCTGAAAGAGGCGAATCTGAAATGAACAAATTTGGAAATTTATCGCCGTAACAACTGTTATCCTATATGTGTTTTTTTTGCCGAAATATAAGAAGCCACAACATAGCAAAAATATAGGGCATAGGATACGACGGAAAACAACTATAGGACTGCCACTGCAAATAAAAACAATTTAATTTAATGGATCAAATCAATCCCAAAAAACTCAAAAGCTTACTCAACTAACAAATAGGTTTTCATTTAGAATTTCAGTTTTCTCCTGATAGACAATATGTTCGCCTGAAGAGATATTTTCGCATCTGAAACAATTCAATGAATATTATAAGTTTTCACTTAATTTAACAGCTTCTTTTCAAGCTCCTTTGAATCCTTGAAATGTAGCCTGATAATATTTGAAACAATCTGTCAATTGAATGGAGTACACTATTTAAAGTGTTCAAATGTTTATGAAAAAATCTCAATATGAATATAGAGTAAAAAAAGATGGTAATTGAAAATAATTTGTGTTACCTGCTGCTACTAATTGCTGAATTTTGCCAATAGCTGAGTAAAAGAACTTCACATAAACAGATCGATGTGTTGAATAATTTTATACATTGTAATAATTGGCCTGATTGAGAAATAATTGAGTGTTCAATATATTAGTAACTACATTGAAGTCTTATATAACTATTTTATACGGGTTCCAAGCTATACATGATATCTAATTTTGCTCTATCTTACCATCTTCTTCATCTTCGTAAGATTCAAGACGATGATACGCCACTGTATCGTCTAAATTGAAAACGAAAAACATAATGAAACATGCAAGTTTGAAATAAAATACCGTTCGAGTTTGGTAATACTCAGAAAAATAAAATTTTATAAAAAGTACATAATGCTATCCGACTTTCAAGAAAAAATAATCGACCACAATAATTATAATGAGGATTTTTGTTCAATGATGATTTGAGTTATAAGTTTAGACATATCGGACGAGATACGAACTTTATAAAATATATTTCAGAATAATGACAAACCAAAAACTGCCATCAGAAAATGATGAAACTTACAGAAGAATACATAAACATGGAACATGGAACATGAATTACATAATATCAGCCTGCGTAAATCTCATATTTCTATATAATCAAGGAGTTTATATGCAATGAATTCTTGAATTACGAGAACCAAAATGTCAAATTCGAAAACACCCCAAGCATTTGCTGATAAAAATAACAAACCTTTCCTATTTTTGGCATGTTTTTTCAGTTTTTTCCCTAGAGAATCCTTTATCCAATTTATTAATGAAAAAATAAATAAATTTGAAAGGTGTAGGTACATGCAAAACATGCAAGCGAACAGAGCATAAGGGTGGAACGATTGTAATTGAGTATAATAATTTGAATCTGTGTCATGTGTATTTCGATATTCACAGGAAATCTTATGGGGATGAATGAATCAAGATGACTTGACTGTCTTGTCACTTCACTTGAACCGCTCAGGGACTTGACTGTCAGAAATGCTCCCCCGATATGAGTCAGCACGATTCACTGTTGCGTTCCAATAATTTATAGTGCTGCCTCAAGTGGCGTATGTAGTTAGTAACAATAGCTACACAAAAAACATTAAGACGGAATGATGAAGTGGTGGTGAGCAACAGAGAGCTTATTGGTAGGTGTGGAAAACTACCTTCCCAGGTAGTCCAATTGAATATTGAATATGGAATTACTAGATTGTCCCAGTATCAAACCAATTTTTCATTTCGATATTCAATAATCAATCCAGTGCCAATGTTGTGATAACAACAAAATTTTGTGAACAGTCAATATTCATTCGCCAATATCTATTTGATATTGGCGAAATATTAACGCTGACAATATGTTAATTTTCATAATGGGCAGATATATTGCATTTCCAATATCGAATCAATGAATTTGCTACGAACAATGTTTCCATTATTGCATTTTTTATTTAGCCGTTCATCAATTTATGAGACTCATTACAATATCGAATCAATATAAGTAATATTTCTTTTAGTATTCGAGCGTTATAACAGCTGCAGAGGCATCGAATACCGCAGCATTCGTTTAACTTGGTATTCCGGGATACAGGAAACGAAAATGGATAAGGAATATTATGCTAATGTATTATTGTACCAATATCGCTAATTTTGTTTCAATGATATAAGATTAATATCAGCCTACCATTCACTCTATACTGTTTCAACAATCCATATTCAACCAATATTATTGTTCTACGGTTCTACCTGGGTTCAGACGTTACCACCGATATTAGAGCGGGTCTTCGCTACTAAGAGGGACTCTAAGGTGGGAACAGACCAAGCAAAAATTGATGTGCAACAGTTGAACAACAGGTAGGCAACTGTTGGCTAACTTGTTTCCGAGGGAGAAAACATTTTCGACAAACTGTTGGGCAACATCAGTGTTCGTTCACACGTTCAGTCAGGCACGATGAACGAGTCCGACCATGATAACTTTGGGACAGCACGTGGTCGCGTATGCATTGAATATGCACATGCGTTGCGTCACATGCTATCCCAAAGTTAACGTGGTCGGACATATCTACTTTGAAGTACCGCCTCGGGAGCGAACACCGAACATCATATTAGTTCGGCAACAGCTGCACAACTGTTGTGCAAGTGTTGCGCAACACGTACACACTGTGTAAACTTGTGTGTTCCTCGATTGTTGTTCCACTGTTGCACAACAATGTTTGCTTGGTCTGTTGCCACTAACGGGCAAAACAAGGTTGCTGGGAGGCATGCCACTGCAGGGGATATCTCGCTTATTTTTTGAAAGTTTTGCGCGAACGTTGGCTACGTTTTATGAAACTTACGATACCGTTAAAAATCTTCATAGCTTGCTAGTTGTAAGGACATCGAAAATGGGACACACTGTAGATTACTAGCCTACAACATACTACCGAAAAACGTCTGTGAGATAGCTGATGGTACCTAAGAAGGGTGTTACTTTGAAGCTTGCAAAAGGTCCCATTAGAGATTATATAGTTGCTATAACGTGCAAGCATCCTCCAATTCAAGTTTTCATTAGAATACCGTAAACGTCAAATAATTGCGGGTTGAAAATTATGAATCACTCGTTCACTCAAAATTTCAGTTAATCTTATAGTGTGCCAAAAACATCATGCATTCTTTTATTTCTTGATTAGTTGTAAAAACTCCTCCATCGCCTAGCAGAAACTGTGGATTATTGTGATTAATATTCAAAATCCAAATGTATCATTACCAAAATTTCCATATATATTAACTTCAATGTCCTTTTTGTACACTTTTGTCTCAGTATATTCATCCCTCCGACTTTGGAAAACTCGAAACAAAAGAAACATGCATTTGATGTGACTATATATAGTTTGCACAACTTTGAAACAATTTTGAATCATCCTCTAATATTCCTGATCCTTTTCAGTTCTCCCGGTGCGAAATTCCCCTCTCTCAACCTCCTATCATCCAAAACATCCCTTCTCCACCCTCCTAACAACTCTCTTCCACCCTCCAAAATACAGGGTGTTTCAGATTGTAAAAGGGAAAATTCACAAGGCGATAAAACTCGTGAAAATGTTCGACAACAAATTTCATTTTCCGATTAATAGATCGATATCTCCTACCTTATTGCACTGCCGTAACAACATTGAAAACTGATCGGGATGTCTGGCAGGTTTTCAGTGGTGGAGGCGGCTGTGGTATGGCCGTAAAGGGTCGAAAAAATCAATGCAACGTACTATTAATAGAGCGCTGGATTTTTGTGGGTTGATAGCCGATTAAGTTTGAATTTCAATAAAAATTATGCCAGACACATTGAGTGTTACAATCATAATAAGGATTTTTCGAGGAATTAATTGCCATCAAGCTGGAAATCATTTCAAACCCTTCATTAGGTCCTGAATAATTGTGATGTGAGTTTGCATCATCCCAGGAGGTGAGCTTAACTTTTGGTAGCCCAAAAGAGGTAAATATTTGCACTTATTTTTAGTTTTTGCTTGTAGCTCGAAAAAATCGCGACGGACGAAAAACGACACTCAATTCAATAATAAAATCGTAAAAGGAGTATATAAAACTTCGAATGCGGTTCAGTACTACAGCCGAAATCAACAGTCAAAACCCAGAAAATTTTCTCATTTCAGTGCAAACTCACAAAATTCAGCGCTCTATTAATCGTACGTTGCATTGTATTTTTTTTTCAACCCTTTACGGTCATAACACGGCCGCCTCCACCACTGAAAACCTGCCAGACATCCCGATCAGTTTTTAATGATGTTACGGGAGTGCAATAAGGTAGGAGATATCGATCTATTCTTCGGATAATGAAATTTGTTGTCAGCACTAAGACTATTAGATGATTTTTGTCAAACTTAACAGGTTTGTTTGCAATATATGAAAATGGATCTTCTGGCGTAACCATAGATTCACCGTAATTATTTCAGTGGCGCCCAGAGCGTTACATAATTGATATTTAACGTAAAGATTGTAGTGCTCCATTGTTTTTATCTCAACGTTCATATTTTTATTCGATTTAATAATAAAATATACAACATTCTTGTTCCACGAGTTTTGTTGTATCTTGCTTAGTTATCATCATTTAGAACTACTATAATCAAATATTCGCGTTTAATATCTGAAACGCCCTGTAATTGATAATTGACAGATGGAGTAGAGGTCGAAAATATAAATATTTTGAGATTTAATATCTGTTTTTGTCTGCTAGACATGGTCTAGACTGATAGGAAAGTGATAATGAAAACTGGTTGCATGCGCTTCGGATGGGTCGTTTCTTCTCCTTAAAAAATTAGAAGGCGAATAATTATTGTTTCCAAATTCGACTGAAAAACGTAGGTATTCCAGATGTCAGAGAGATGATCCCCAAATACAAAAATTTGCAAAATGGACTTAAGTTGTCGAAAAATCGTGCTTTTTGAACTGAGCGTTAGTTGATAAAATGGATGCTGTCCACTCTAGAAAACCGTCAAAAATCGCTTGTTCACTCTCCAAATTCAACTTCCAACCTAACCTTGAACGCCTTGCAGCAAAGCTTGGCCCAAATTGAAAGCGTTCGGTCTGGGGGCCTGTGGGGGGGCAGCTACAGAACTGGATGGGGAACCAGAGGAAATCGACGTGACCATTCTTGGAGACTGAGGGGGAGTACCGGGACCTAGTAGATTGCTAATAAATGATATTGTCTCGGCTCCGACACTGCCATTAGACCAATAAAGGTTATAAAACCTTGGATAGGCCAGTTTTGTTGTTTTTGATCTAATCATGACTAAAAAATCTAGTTCCGTGTGCTCTTGGTTTATTATGTAACTCCATCAGTACCTACATGTGGAGATTTGAAGCATCTAATTTTTATCGTTCGATTCTAATTTTTCAATAAATCTGACGAGTATATTGAAGAAAAATACAATATGTTGGAAAAAAAATCCAATAAGTTGGAAAAAATCCAATATGTCGGAAATAAATCCAATATATTGGAGAAAAATCCAAAATATTGGGAAATAAATCCAATTTACTGAAAAAAAATCCAATATATTGGAAAGAATCCAATAGTTGGAAAAAATTCAATATGTTGGACAAAAAACCAATATGTTGGACAAAAATCCAATATGTTGGAAAAATGAGAATCACACGATAAGACATTGAAATGGACGATGGAGGTTCATTAGATGCCCCAAGGCCTCATATTCCTGAGGAAATTACAGTACCGAAGTTGGATGCAATAATATAACTTATTTCATCATAGCTCCAGATGCAGATTCGAATATATGCAATAGGATGAAATGTGTTGTGTTTGTGATTGTGGGTTAGCAAACAAGCGAAGCAAAACATGATATAATGTCTCTTCGCTGATGATTGGAATGATTTACATTTTCTGTCGTCACCAGCGGCAGTGGCTGTGATGTTGAGCATTGAACATACTTATTTGCACTACGAAATAGTCGAAGTGGAATGAACTGTTAAATACATACATAAAGCTCGGAGTCATTTCCACACAATGAACAGCAATGGTAGATATCGGGGGAAAAACAACTACTTTCCTGGCTATAATGCAACGCAGAATGTAATTCAATGTTCTGCGTGGTATTAGCCAGGAAAGTAGGTAGTTGTTTTTCTCCCGAAATCGTCCGCCATTGTTGTTCATTTTATGAACATTGTGTGGAAATGTCTTTGAGCTTTTTGTATTTATTCCACTTATTTGTACTCCGCTGAGAGAATGCTGGTGAGAATGCCAGAACTTAACCTCATAAAGGTACACCAAATGACGTTTGAAGAGTATAAGCTGCCCAACAAAGCGTATTGTGGGTATAACATGTTTCTGACATTAGAAAAAAAATCTGAAACTCTCCATCCTATTATGGGGGCCTCAGAAATTTTTGAAATATTTCATAGTAATATCATCCTGTAGCATTTAATTCAAAGGCGCTGCGATGAATCATACGAACTAGGAACTGATTGATATCGGTTTTCTTAATCGAAAGATAAATTGTGTTTCAAATTGGATTTTAAATCCTCTTGGTTTATTATATAACTCCCTCAGTATTCATATGGTGATTTGAGGCATCTAATGAATTTATACCGTGTAATTCTCATTTTCCAATATATTGGATTTTTTTCCAATAGGTATATTGGTTTCTCTTCAATATATTGTTTTTTCCAAATATATTGGATTTTTTTCCAAAATATTGGATCTTTTTTCCGATATGATGAATTTTTTTCCGATATATTGAATTTTTTTTCAATAGATGGGAAAATAGTTATTTATTATACAAGGGAAAAAAGTTGTAGATTTTAGCTCCAGGTTGTGTTGTCTCCCGACGCGTAGCGGAGGGAGACAAAAAACCGTGAGCTAAAATCTAAAATTTTTCCCGTGTATAATACACTATTTTTTTCTGTGACAGAAGAAAGGACGAATCAATATTGAGAAAATGTTACATTATTTTGAAATCTGAAAAATATCGACGTGAAGTTTCAAGTTTTTAACAGTAGGGACACCTGCGTTCTATAGGCATCTGTATCGTTCTTTTGAAGTAATCAAATATTTGATGTCACTTCTGTCAGTCTAATTCTGTGATTTGATTTCAAAAAATTGCGAATTTAGTAGTTGTTTAGTAATATACGTAACCGCGAAGTCGAATCGAAGATAAGGATAGCACAACAAAAGCCATCAACAGTGTATTACTATATATATGTGATATATATCCGGGAAAAAAGTACTAACTTTTTGCCCACGGGAAGAAAGTAATTTATGAAAAGTGACATTTTATAACCTGCCAACAGAGATGAAATGCCAAACTTTTTTCCCGTCACAGAAAAAATAAATTTATTTTAATTGTTTGACCCCTAGACTCGGAATGCATACGGATAATCTGGATTTAAAATAAATGTGAATGCAGGTAGTATTTGAAAAAATAACGGACTGATGGGTTGTATCACGCAAGACGCAAGCTCTGTTATATTAATGATGAGAAAATAGAGAAAAATTATAGTTTTTCCAAAAGTCCCGTATTTTTTTGAACAGTGTGTTTATGAAAACTAAGTACTCTTTCAACACACAAACGTTGAAGCAAATAAGTGAATGAAATTTTAAGCGCATTTTCTACGCATGTCAAACAAATAGTGACTTTAGATCCTAATGAAACAATGAACCTATACTTAAAATTTTTGTTCTCAAAAGCAAGGCAACTTATGATGAAAATTTTAGAGATTTGAAAATTGTATTTCGAATTACTCAATCTAGAAAAAGTATATTTCACTTAGAAAAACAGTGACGTGTACATTTTTTTATATTAACATTGGCCTAATTGCTTCTAGGTCTAGGATACAGGTCCGTCTTTAACTTACTGGGGGCCCTCTGGGCTCATTATGATAATGGGGGGCCCTTATCTTGACACTATTTTGTTAGCATAGACAAAAAAAGTAAATAAGTTCTTGATTCAGACACATTAAATGAATAGATAATATTATATAATCCACAAATTTAAAGTGAAGTATTCACATCTACTGAATTCTGAATCTTGGACCACCCTGTATCTGTTCCGATTAAATATAAGTAAATAGTGAATGAAAAGTTGAGATTAGTACATGCGAGACGTTTTGACCGATAATGAATAGTTTCGACACAAAAATCCTGAAGTTGAAAAATCTCGATTTTGAAAACCCTATATATCTCTATACGCTAATATCTGAAACTTATCAAAGTTTCAGAAAAGTTAGCCGAACGCCATTTTCCGTACTAAATGTGCGGGGTCCTTTGTTCAACAATTTTTTCACAAGCCCTAAAAAAGTCACAGTATTGAAATTAACCTGACATTTTCTACTACCACCGAACATGTTTATGTTCGGTGTTACTACCAAAAAGACACTTATTCAGTAACTTATTTGGTTTACCCCATGGTTGTAAGGGGTGGAAAACGCAACCCCTGAATTTTATTTCCATTGTAACTTTTTGTCTTATAATTTTTTTACCATTAAAAAATTTATTTCCGATAGCCCGTTTCATTCTGAACACTTCATCAACGATTACGAGAATACGCAGGATTGTGGTCGCCATCGAGAAGTAAGAACACCACAGCTTGAGGAAGCAGTACTTAATTTGATTGAAGAACAACCTACTACCAGTACTAGAAAGATTGATTTCCAGATGAATGTTGATCATATGACGGTATTCAGAATTTTAAAGGAACAACTCTTCTACCCTTACCATCTGCAACGAGTACAGGCATTGTTACCGCGAGACTTTCCGAACCGTCTTGAATTGGCTGATGAAAACTCTCACGCTATTGTCGAAACTAACCGGAGTTATTGGGAATTATTTAACTGGGCCTCATATTCTACCTCCTCGATCAAATGGTGAGGCATACGTTCAATTTTTAAGGGAAGTGTATCCCGTACTGCTGGAGGAAGTTCTTTTGGGCGTCAGAAGGGATATAGTTTTCATGCATGATGTGGCTCCCGCCCATTTTAGCCAAGTAGCACGTCGAAACATATGCAAATCAGTGGATAGGACGAGGAGGGCCACAGAATTGGCCCGCTCGATCCCCGGATCTCAATCCTCTCGATTTCTCTACTTGGGGCCATCTACAGCATTTGGTTTATCGTACTGTTTGCGATGTAGAGGACTTAAGAAACCGCATCGAAGATGCGTGCAGGGTACTAAGAGAGACTCCAGGAATATTTGATCGAATACGTGGCTCAATGCGAAGACGTCTATATAGACACTTGCGTAATGTCTGAAGGTAGACATATTGAACATTTACTATGATTTCTACATGTTGTATGTTTCGTTACTAATAAATTAGTTTTGTTTATTCCCCTTTAATCATTCAATGCAGGTAGTAACTACAAAATAACAATAAATCCAATTTGCATTTATGACGATGTATCTCTGTAGTTGTTCGTAAAATAATTCTTTGCTGCGAACTGGTTTATTTTGGGCAAAAAATTCAACAGATATTTTTTGATTAGAATGAAACAGGATATCGAAAATAAATTTTTAAATGGTGAACAAATAATGAGGCAAAAAGTTACATTGGAAATGAAATTCAGGGTTTGCGTTTTCCACCCCTTACAACCATGGGGTAAACAATAGTATATTACATAACTAGTGTGGAAAGTGCGGCGAGTGCGGAAACGAAACGAGCGCAGGAAATGCACTTTCCAACGAGTTTTGTAAACTATTTTTCCTATACGACCACAAATATTTATATTATATATCATGAGTGTTTATAAGACCAGAGTAGGGATCATGTTTCTAATCATATTCGATCACATGAAGGTGATATCTACGAAGGCCTGGAAGGGACACATAAAATAAAAAAAATAAAAACTTTTCAAAATTATGAGTTATAAATCGGAATTTTACATCAAAATTCCGACGAATATCTCGGAATTTTAAAATTCCGTGTTATAACTCGGAATATTGGATGTAAAATTCCGTTTTATTACTCAGAATATTGGATGTGAAATTCCGACTTATAACTCGGAATTTTACATCCAATATTCCGAGTTATAACACGGAATTTTAAAATTCCGAGATATGAGTCGGAATTTTGATGTAAAATTTCGAGGTATAACTCGGAATTTTAAAATTCCGAGTTAAAATTCCGAGTTATAAGTCGGAATTTTGAAGAGTTTTTATTTTTTTTATTTTATGTG